TTTAAAAATAATTTAAATTTTAAAATACAACTTTTCTTTTGGTTTTTTAATTTTTAATTTTTATGAATTATAAATTATAAATTATTTTTAATATATATATTGTATTTTAAATACACGTGACACTATATTATTGGATATGTGGAGCATCAGCATACTAGCGAAGTTTTTGACGGAAGGACTATTTGTGAGCACACATATCAACCTTGAGAACCATGAATGACTCAAAAAAAAAACAAGAATACGCAATTTGATAATTTCATGGAACGTTTTGTGATATAAAAAAAAAGCCTATATGAAATGAAAATCCATGTATAAGACTCTCTCCAACCCAACATGTTCCATACTCAAATTTTGCACTTTCAAATGCCGCTTTGCAGCAATACACGATGTCTCAAAATGGTTTTTTTTTTTTCCTCCAATCCTTGCCTGCTTCGTTTTCCTTTCCTTTTTTGATAAAGTGACCCAACTGTTAACGACAAGACCCACACAACCCAAACATGCTACAATCACTTCTGTCCACATGAAATTCTCAACATGCAAAGTAAACACAGTGTAGCATTCACCTAAATATAGCTATGCCCTATCAATATTTATCAGGAGTTGAAAAAGAAAAGACTAAATGTGGAAAAGATTAACTGTACTCAAACCCAAAACATCATGAACCTCTCCTCCCATACATAAATCACTCACAATCTCACCACTTTCCTCGGACTGGACTCAGTGATCATTGACAATATTAATCACACTCTCAATATTCCTCTTGGAGCTCGGCTAGTATTTGCCTAATAACAAAACACCAACTTAGCCATGGGAATGAAGATGAAGAAGATTGCTTGCTTTGTCCTCTTTGCTGCTGCATTTGTCAGCGTTGTGATGGCTCGTAAGAAAGGCAAGGACAAAGCCGCCGGAGCACCAAAACCTGCAAAAGCACAAAAATCAAGCAGCGATATCTCTTCTGGCCCGCCCACCTGGGGTTCCTTAGTTGCTGCCTGCCTTGTATCATACCTTACCTACTACTACTTGCTGCCTGCCTTGAATGAAGAGTTCTTTCATATATATTAGGAACTAAGGAAGGGAATAAGGTTGAATTGGAATAGGGTTTCTCTTGTTTTGTTCTACTTCATTTTTGTCAGAGGACTTCTCATTTCTTTCACGTCTTTTGGAATGTTTTAGATTTTTTTTCATAGTAACAATTAGAGTAACCAAAATGTATTTAGGCAAATTATTCTCAAATCTGTTGTTGTCATTTGTTTTTCAGACATCATTTGCTTAATCTGATGAGCCTTTAGCACATGTGCTAAGGTTTAAACTGGTCAAACCAAATCAATCTCATCGATTTTGTTCAGTTTATAAAGTACCACCTTAACCTACGGACCATAATTTTGTTTGGTTTGGTTTAGTTTTGCCTATTTGAAAATCACATAAATCATCGAAACAAACTGCCTATATTATAATGTATATTGTATGATACTTGGCATTTCCTTATTAGTTATTATCATGTATTATTATGTTTCACCGTACACGTTGATATCAACCTTCAATATATACCTTGATGTAATCTTGAATGTTGTTAGGATGTTAGAGATTTAAGGCCCTTTGAGCAACGTTTTCAAAGAATGTTTCCAGAAAATAAAAACAAGAATATGAATTTGCATTTTCAGGAATTGAAAATGCGTCTGATAGATTAATTAGAAAATATCTTCAAAAAATAAAAACAATGAAAACGTGTCTGGTAGTACAATTTGAAAATATAATATGTGTGTTATTTTTCAAGTGAATTTTTGCTAATTTATGTTCTAAAAGGATTTTTTTTTAAATGTATAATTTAACAAATAAAAAATTATATTACTTTTAAAATTTTAAACTATTTTTATTTCTTTTATTTTGCTTTTTTCTCCTCCTTTCTTTCTTCCTCTTCTCTCTCTCTCATCTTTCTCTCCCCCACTCTGTCTCACTTTCAAACCGACAATTCGTCGCCATCCAATCACGGCGACCGGCACCATCACCCCCAAGCTCTTCCTCTCTTCCTCCTCTACCTAACCCACTCATCAATCGAGACTCAAGATCGTGCCGGATTTTGACTGGAAAACTACCCAGTCGCTGTCACCTCAAGCTGCGCCACCACTTGGAAAAGTAGTAGCCCTCTCCTCCCTCTATCTTCCCCCTATCTTAATCGACGCAATTCATTGCCATAGCCGCCGGTCTGAGCTCGGGAAGCTCCGGCCTAAACCCTCTCTCTCTCTCTCTCTCTCTCTCTCTCTCTCTCCATGTTTTGAGTGTTTCTCATGAGTCTCTCTCTCTCTCTCTCTCTCTCTCTCTCTCTCTCTCTCTCTCTCTCTCTCTCTCTCTCTCTCTCTCTCTCTCTCTCTCTCTCTCTCTCTCTCTCTCTCTCTCTCTCTCTCTCTCTCTCTCTCTCTCTCTCTCTCTCTCTCTCTCTCTCTCTCTCTCTCTCTCTCTCTCTCTCTCTCTCTCTCTCTCTCTCTCTCTCTCTCTCTCTCTCTCTCTCTCTCTCTCTCTCTCTCTCTCTCTCTCTCTCTCTCTCTCTCTCTCTCTCTCTCTCTCTCTCTCTCTCTCTCTCTCTCTCTCTCTCTCTCTCTCTCTCTCTCTCTCTCTCTCTCTCTCTCTCTCTCTCTCTCTCTCTCTCTCTCTCTCTCTCTCTCTCTCTCTCTCTCTCTCTCTCTCTCTCTCTCTCTCTCTCTCTCTCTCTCTCTCTCTCTCTCTCCATGTTTTGAGTGTTTCTCATGAGAATGAAAATATGAGAAATGAAAATCTAAATTCTGTCATTTTAGAATTATATATCATTTTTAATTCCTTCATCCAAATAGAGGGTAAACAAAAATATAAAACTTTGTAATGTAATTGGGCTAAATTACAAACAAGAAAAGAAAACCAAAAGAGTGTTGAGCTTAGGCCTAAACCGCACAAGAGGTTGGTTTGATTTCGTTTCTCCTCTTATTTTGATTCACTATTAATTGCCCATGATTTGGGAGTGAAACGGAACACCCCTAACTATTGTAATTTATTATAAATCTCAATGTCCCAAAATTTATTTGCAAATTTGTTTTAACAGACATTAGACTTAATCATACGTCAAATAAACATGAGAAATGGATTTCCTTAGCACAAACTCGGAAATATTGCATCATATTGTCAGTAATTAATATCCAATGCATTAATTGTTCTTGTCTTCCTTTTTTTTATAGATGACCAAACACTTTACCACAACACCCAATATACCCTAACATTTTTTATAATCCCTTATATCTAGGGCTGGGCATCTATACCGTATATACCGAAACCGTATCAATATCGTGTCATACCATACCGTTTACTACCGTACCGTATGCCTACCGAATTAATATGGTATCATACCGTACCGTACCAGTCTTGTATGACACAGGTGTGGTACCATATATCTGCCACCGTATGCCACCGTACCGTACCGAATAGTAACCCTAAACAAAATTATACGCGAGTTTTTTTCACTCTCAACTCGATCTCTCACCCAGACCCAGACTCTCGAACTCTCCTCCCACTCCTAGCCAACTCTCTCTTTCTCTCAAACTCTCGATCTTTCTCAGTCGCCCTCGATCGATCAAACTAGGCCAAACCCTTGGATCTCTGTCTCTTTCTCACTCTCTCACTCTCACGATCTCTGTCTCACTCACTCAATCTCTCGAATTTGATCGATCTCTCGATCTCTGTCTCACTCTCGATTCAATCTCTCTCTCTCTCTCTCTCGACTCGATCTATGTATCTCTCTCTCGATCTCTCTCTGTCTCAATCTCTCGATCTTTCTCTCTCTGTCTTTGAAGCCCCAAATTGACGACCTGTCGATCTCTCAATCTGTCTGGAAGCCCCAAATCGACGAAGGCTGCTCCTCTCGATCACTCTCTCTGTCTGGAACTAGAAGCCCCAAATCGAAGACTCAAACTCAAATGGTAAGTTTATGTTCAACAAATTCTCTGTCTGGAATTGAAACTTTTGATAATAAGCTTTTGATTTGCATTGAAATGTTGCTGAATTGATGAATTAAGACAATATCTACATTTATTTTGGAAAGAATTGTTGATTTGATGATTTGCATTGAAATGTTGCTGAATTGATTAAATATGTTGGAAAGTATGCATGTGAAGCAGAAACTTTATTTTGGGGTTAATTTTGATTTTTGTTAATTCTTGTCATGCAGTCTCGATCAAGTAAGCATCAGGAGAATAGTGGGCTTGCTATTTCTTCAACGGCAACATCACCAACACCACCACAGTGTGCTGTGCAGCCAGAAGCCCCACCACAGTGGTTGATTTGGATATTGAATTTGTTGATGGATATTGATTTGGTTGATTAGGATTTGGATGTTGAATTTGTTGAATCTTTGAATCTTTGGTGAATGAATAGGTTGAATATTCAATTGGTTCATTTTTTAGTTTTGTCATTTTGATACCGAAATGGTACCGTACCATATCGATACTGATTTGGTACGATATGGTATGGTACCAACTTTGGCAAACCATAATCCCATACCGAACCATACCGGTTTTAATTTTCGGTATCGGTAGCGGTACGAGCCCAATACTGTACCGTACCATATCGTGCCCACCCCTACTTATATCACGTTTAGGGGTGGACATTTCATCCGAATTATCCTCATACCAACCGTATTGTATCGATTGTTTGGTATGATTTGGTTTTGTTAAATAATTATTTTTTATTTAATTATTTTGATCCGATCCGTACCGAAATGTTTGGTTAAAAAGTCAAGTAACAATATTTCTAACCCGACGAAAATCCGTACTGATCCGATATTTATAATTATTTTATTATTTTATTACTAATATACAAAAGAGTTAGCCTTACCAACAATATTATGATTTACCCCAAAACAGAAAATGCCAAAAATGGTATATATAAAAATATTACCTATCAATTGCGATATTCCAAAAAGAAAGGCATGAAAATCTCCCTTAAATCCATCATAAACCCCCCACCAAACTCCTAAGGCAGCACTCTCAACTCCAAGGCGTTTTCAGCGAATATTCTTCACTGCTCATCTTCAACGTCAAGTTTCACCGATCTCAGCCCAACAAATTCCACCACAAGGCCACCATGGAAATGAAGAAGATTGTCTGCGCTGTCCTCTTCGCCGCCGCCTCTGTCAGCGCTGTGATGGCTCATGAGGGTCACGCCTACACCCACAGCCCTGCCCCTGCCCCAGGACCAGAAGGAGCCGCAAATGATGCCTCTGCCAGCCTCCCTGTCTTGGGGTCCTTGGTTGGTGCCTACATTGTGTCCTTCATTGCTTACTACATGCAGTAAATAAATTTATGTAAAAATAAAAAATAAAAGAATGAGAGTTAAGAGAGAGCTAGCTCATGAATTATTGACTACTTCATAGAGATTGGAGGGTGTCTCTCTTGAATCTCATTTGTTTTTACTTATAATGCAATAAGTTAAAAGAGCTTCTGGTTCTGGGTTTTTCTCTTTTTCTTTCTTGTTCTTTTTTTATTTATTTTTGGTGCATGATCTCCATTTTCCAAGCTTTCAATTGATATTGTTAGCTACCTATAGTGAGAATGTGTTCCAATTACTTTTTTAATCTCACAACTGCAAAGTGCGAGTTGTATTGTAGAAATCTTGGCTGAGCTCGTATTTAGGTCTAAATACTATCCTTAATACCAAATATATTGTCGCATAATCGCATTGATTGATCTCTTACCTCATTTCGTTGGGAATCTAAGGATTTCTTACTATATCTTAGTCCTCAATTTGAGCCACTTTATCTATTCTGAATTCTATGGAATGATTTGAGAAAGTTTATTACCTTTTGGATGAGATTTCATAAACTTCCTTAATAGGACATTTGGCCCCATATTGTTAATCCAAATCAAGTCAAAATCTTATTAGCGGGTAACATGAATCTTTCTTTGATTTGATTCGACCCGCCCTAATTATTTCAGGCCCATTTTTATTACGGTCACATTTTCACACAGTGGTTATCATATAATGCCTAAAAATTCTAGAAAACGAGGAATTATTGAGATACAGTTACATAGTATAACTCTTTTACTTTATATAACATTAGAACTCATTTATTCACGTGTTATAATGTGAGAATTTATTCACGTGTTATAATATGAATGAACTAGACGACAGAATTAAGATTTTCCACTTTTGAGATATGACATCAATCAATATCCTAACACATAAACCAGTTATTTTATTTTATTTTATTTTAAAATAACGCAGTAACAAGCAAGTAGAAACTACACATAGAAAATCGAATCAAATAATCCTTATTTATTTATTTATTAAACTCCTTCCTCAATCAAATATTCCAATTTGGGTCTGCACAATGGCCCGCTTGAAATAATTTTGGGCCGGGTGTCTACATTGGGGTCATTCGGCTGAAAAGCCTAAACTCTTACCTCACGGCTCTCACTGTCTCCCAACCCTCTGTCTCTGTCTCTGCGTCTTTCTGAATTTTTGTTTCACCAAAAATGGCCGCCATGATCTCACGCAGATTCAGCTCCAAGCTTGCAAGGCTCTCTCATCCTTATTCATCATGGTCTGTATCCTCCACCTACCTCATCACCCAAAATCTCCAAGACTCTACGCCTAAACCCTTCACCCACTCCTCCAACTCCACTTTCTCACAAACACCCTCAAACCCCACCACCATTGTCAAAGACTACAAAACAGCACCAAATCCAAAACCCATAAACCCCAATCTCATTTGGGTACCAACTAGAAAATCCAGTACTCAACACCCTGAATTTATGCACCAAAGGGTTTTTGATCCACAACCCAAAAAACCCAATTTTGGTTTTACACAGTCATGTTCAAGTTACAGTACCAATTTATGGTTATCAGATCAAAGACCCAGATTTCTTTCAACCTCTAGTTCACCACCATCAGAATCTGAAAAGCCCCAAACCCCAAGTGAATACCCTAGTCAAAACCCTGATTTCAAGCACCAAGAAATTGAAGGACCGACCGTGGAGCGAGACTTATCATCCTTGGCCAATGAGACCAGAGAAGTTCTTGAAGGGATGGCAAAGAACATGTATAATCTGAGCAGGGCATTTGCTCTTCTGGGGTTGGTCCAGCTTGGCGTTGGAGCTTGGATTTCATACATAACCAAGTCCACGCCAATTCCAGAGGTCACAATTCAGAGCATTTTGGCATTTGGGTTGCCGATCTCATTGGCATTCATGTTGAGGCAGAGTCTGAAGCCGATCTACTTCTTTAAGAAGATGGAGGAGCAAGGTAGGTTGCAGATTTTGACACTCACTCTTCAGGTTGCTAAGAATTTGAATGTCTTCTTTGTTCGGGCTCGCGGGGTTTCTTTCTTGTGTATTGCTGGTTTGTCAGTTGGAGTCTTGTTTGCTGTGCTTACAAGATGAGTTTTAATTCTTGTTCATGAGATTGTTTTCATGAATTTTGATAAATGATTGTTATGTTATTGGATTTTTGTATCCTTTTATTTTACGGGAAGTGAAAACGAATCTAATAATCCCATCTTTATCTACCAAACCAGCCTATAAATCAAGCCAATGGCATTATCAGTTCAACCATCTGAAAATACCAGCAGTTCCTGCTACATGTATGTTGTTACATTTAGACCATAATCAACTCAATCAATGGTCCAGATTCATTTTACGGCGATATAATCAAAATCTTATGTTGTCGAACCGTTTGGCAAGAGAGCATTTCCCTTGTGAAGGTCATTTGGAAATGTCTTAGGAAATTATGTTTAGGATGCAGTGGTCTGTTTTGCAATTGTAACTGGCAAAATATATGGTGGCAACAATTGTAATGGACTTGGAGACTAAAATGTTCCTACATGCGCAGGAAGCAAGCTAAACAATTACTAGTACCAAAAAAAAAATGAGAAACATAAAATTTAATGGGATAATCAATGGTCCAGATTCATTTTACGGCGATATAATCCAAATCTTATGTTGTCGAACAGTTTGGCAAGAGAACATTTCCCTTGTGAAGGTCATTTGGAAATGTCTTAGGAAATTATGTTTAGGATGCAGCAAGCTTATGTGAGTGGTTTGTTTGTGCAATTAATTGTAACTGACAAAATATATGGTGGCAACAATTGTAATGGACTTGGAGACCAAAATGTTCCTACATGCGCAGAAAGCAGGCTAAACAATTACTAGTACAAAAAAAAAATGAGAAACATAAAATTTAATGCGAGTGAGAGAGGAACAATTGGAATAACTAACCCTATTATCTTCTTTTTGGGATACATTATTCTAATTTTCTTATTTGGCAGTGATTCATTCAAGAATATTTAGCATCTTCATTACTGAAAAACGCGGCATATCATGACAGACATTACTAAATTGAATTTGCAATATCTCTAAACGAAAAAAGAAAAGAACACCACAATAAAGAAAAACAAGTACCAAGAAGCTTTGCTAACATACGAGGCAACTAATCTCTCTTTTCATCCTTTTTACCCTTTTTTTTTTGTTTATCAATGTATAAATATTACAAAGCAAAATTAACAGATTATCCTTCAAAAAAGAAACCATTTATCCGTCCGCCCTATTCACAAATTTTATCGCGAACAATATTATCTCCGGAAAAAACACCTAAGGACTCGATCCAAAATATTTTCCCTCGCTTTATCCCATGCCATAACAACCAAACCCCTCTTATATCTCCAAATCAAAAAAATAAACCAAAAATTTGCGAGTAGGGAAACCTTCCCCTCCACTTCAGCCTCCATGTAACAATGTTCTCCACCATTTACAAAAAGAATGTACTCCAATTTATTGGATTTCCAACAACCTCCAGCATTTCAAGTGGTGCAATTTCAAGTCGGGCATATTGCAGAAGGTAACATTTTTGGACTAGTTGCCCTCTGGCTTAGGTTCTGTTCGCACGTAGGTTAGACTACGAGCTGTCGGTGAAGGAACAGGATTGCTAGTGACTGGAGCACCACTCTCACCTGGAGTGGCTTGAGTATCCCGCTTCCACTGCATGCTTCTGGCACCAGGTTTGATCAGGGGACGAGGCCTATATGCACCAGACATGCCTCTTGGGAAAGGCGACCTAGCAAACCTCGCAGTGGCAAATGGGGAGCCCCGGGCAATCCGTGGCCATGTCATGACAGGAGCTGCTTCTTGATGAGCAGCGCCCCTCTTCACAACCTGCAATAGGATGACAACAAGGGTCAATATTTTGTTGCAAAGTAACTACCTTTTAAACCCTAAAAAATAAAACCATTCCATGTTCATTTTCGGTCACAGCCCAAAATGCAATCAGCACACATATTCCCTGCTATGAACAATTTACCTTACAAGATCATATGTTAAGAAGCAAGCTAAATATGATGTATGTTCCCAAAGAGCTCACAATAGCAAAAACAATCAGAGGTAATCATTACCTTAAGGATCCGTGACATGAAGGAGGTGCCATCCAGAGATAATGCATTGTCTGCCGCCTCCTTCCGTGTGAACTCTACATAAGCCGACCTGCTCAAGTAAAGTTATTTAGCAAAGAAAAACAACTGAATATGTATTATCTGCAAAGAAAAAGGAAGGATTCGGATGAGATGACACATCTTACCCTTTAGGTTGCCCAGTTGCTGCATCAGTAAGTATCACCACTTTTAGCACTTCCCCAAACTTGTTGAAATGTCGAGAAAGACTATCTTTTGTAGCAGCAAAATGGACCTGTGCATTCATAACAAAATATAATCGAAACTGATAATGCACAGAACCAAGACAATATGTCAAACCTTGAACAAGAAGAGGAGCTATTACATTGTTAACAAAGATGGTTCGAGATTCTGCATCCTCCAAAGGACGTCCAGCAGCATATAGACCTGCACGATATTCCAAGAACAAAAATTAATAAGATGTAAAGTTGCAAAGTGCTCAAATCAAGATGATACAGCACCAATAAGGAAATCAATTGTTTGAGGAGCTAGAAACAGGGTCCTGACTCCCCTAAATAAGGGGGAACAGTAACAGGAATTACGATATTAGCATGGAAGCAAAAAGAGAGCTGACTATTTCAGAGTTTCAAAACACACCAGTAGAAGAGGAAAGCATCCTTTGAGAATCTGCAGCAGGGTTCGCCTGTTATCATCAAAACAACATATTCAATGGCAGTCTCCAGGGCACCCCAAAAAAAAAAGTACTGTGGACGGGAAAAAAAAAGTGCCGCGTGGGGGTTGGGGAGATGGATCTTACATTTCCATTACTAACGGTGACAGGGTTGCTGTTCTCTTTCATGACCCGTAAATCAGATTTGGGAACCCCTACCTCACCATCCTGTATGGAAGTCCAGTC